TTTACTATCTTACCCATTCAAATGTCTCAGTATTGTTTTCTTAGCATCGACTAGAATGCGGAATTTTTGTTTTGATATTCTCTCCATAAAGTGGTTTAGTCCCCTTATTGTTTTCGTACTCAAGTTGAAACACCTAACACAACCATCTACGCATTCCTTCGTAACATCCTTTATGAAGTCAAGTTTACTCCATAAGTATTACACGCTTTGGCAAACAAAAGTGTTTTGTAAGTCCTGGTATAAAATGAGTGATCCAAATTTTTTTGTACTATTCTGTTTTTTCCTAAAACCTAACGAATAGTCATTCTCCATCTCTCATCCAGTAAATTCTAAAATAATGCATGAAAAATCAAACTCGAACTTAGGGACCTATTGTACGCGATTCTCACCTTCAATTGTCGCCCAGGTGGTCAGGACCACAATAGCAACAAATCTCCATGTTTGTCATATCTGATTTGAAACGAAGCAGCTTTATGCTGGGCTTAAAAAGGTGAGTCGTGCTTTTGAGCTTTCAGTTTGCAACGATCAAGAATACGGTGTCTTATATTCGATCACTGTGTGCCAATCGAAATCGACCTATCAGTGAATGGGAGTGCGTGCTGCTCAATCTTCTTGAATTGAGTCCACTTATTCGTGATGCAATTTGTATTTCAACTCGTGGGTGGGTGTTTTTGACTTTTGACGAATATAACGCAAAGGAGTTGATGAGCATGAAAATTATTTTAGTCCCAAAATATTAGGTGCTGCTTCACTGTTTAATTTTCCTTTCCTGCATTTCGCACCTGACAGTCTCAAAATTTCTGATGAATTTCCTAAAGCTGCTATTTGTTGGCAATTTATCTGACATTTTACCTTCTGACTGTTTTCATTCTGGTTTGATCACCCATTAGGCTAATAGGTGGACACGATTGTTTGTGGATTGTGTGGGACCAAATTAGCGTCAAATGAGACCGGAGAACAGTCTTCCTTATTTGATAGCAGCACGAACTTCTCAATAAGCCAGATCCTCGACTTTGTGCTCTGGCACAGGTGAGTGAGATTGGATTTAGTGGTTGGTGTTCGCGGGGTCAGAATTGATTTCATTGTCTACTTTCACTGCGGAAGTGACAGTTGTGTCTTCTTATCCATGCTCATGTTTGATTGCGGTAGGAAGAAGAATACCCTATAACCACGAGTGCTCACTGCACTATCATTGAACATCAACAACCAAGAGCCTGATTTAGGGAAAACGGAAACGTATGAGGCTGCACCAACTTAGTCGTTGTTTGATGCCTATAGACAATCAGGTATCGTCTGTCATTCGAAGTCACCAGTGCAGACACACAGGCCACTGATGAATCAAATGGGGAATTGCCCCTTCCATCCGAAATCACAACTCATTTCTATTCAACACTATGGTTATTAACACCACTGGGTGGAGTATTCACCACACACAATTATTGTAGCAACATGAATGTGAATACCCTTGTGGAATTTCTGAATAGGAAATTGAGTATTTATTGATGTTTTTCAAACCGAAAATAATCCTACTCTGCAAATAATAAAGAATGTGTTCCTAGGTAATCAACTTAGTGGAGTGAATAGGAAGAATTTGTAATAAAACCGAACCCACATAATGATGTGTTTACTTGCATAGGTATGGTATTGTACAGGTAGCGTCCATCGTGATACACATGTAAAATTACTGTTTATATTTCAAGCTCCGTGAAGTAATTAGGGTATATTATCCCTTTAGGCAACGATACTAGTTTATTCGAAGGTTCTACCAATTTGCGTTCGTTCTTTGCTGCGCTATGGGTGTTGAATGTGTGTGAGCGTCGCTTTCGAGGTAGTTTGAGTGCAATCTGTTAGTCGCTTACACTGTCATCGCGATGGCGATGGGAAGATCCACTGGAACCGAATTCTCTCAGAACCTCCTTAAAAGAATCAAAGTTGAACTGCAAAAGTCTCTAATCTTGAGTCTTTTGTGCCTTATGTTGCTCAGTATTTTACCCCGAACAGGAACATCAATTGTGAAATAAATCAATCAAAAATCACTCCAAATACACAGTTCAGAGCTGGAAGATCGAGCAAATGGAATAAATGAAACGATCCTGTGTGCATTACGACCAAAAAGCGGTGCCCAAAATCCCTGTCCTCAATTCAGTGTGATAATGCTCTCAGGCTGTCTCATCACCTTTTGGACAAGCCCATTTCTCATTTAAATACGTCTTATTTTTATTCAAGTTTATTACCATTTGTGTTTTGTAGTTTTCATTTGTGTATTTGTGGGTGCATGAGTGCGCGTGTGCATGTGTGAGCTGACTGCAACAGGCAGAGAGCAGTGATATAGTCTTGGGTATAACCGGGTGAATCCAGTCCTTGGGAGAGCTTTGTGCACCGAAAAGTGTGAGCGTGTTTGGCCAGGAAACCATTTGTGCTTAAATGCGAATGTGTGTGGTGGCCTAAAGTTGACTGATGCGACTGCTTCGCTTACGTGCACGAGGTTATTGGGGCACAATGGAGTGCGTTCATTCAGCCTTGTCCATGCCCGCCACCATGTAGGGCTGTGATTGCTTGATCATATACGGTGGTGATAACCCAGATCCATCCTAATTCACGTCGTCACATTGATAAGAAAATAATGACCACCATGTTTTTGGAAAAGTGGGGTCTAAGCATCACTATACAGAATTCACGAGTGTCTGTGTTGGCATGGTGCAAGTTGGGAGTTCAATAACGGTCACCGACTGTAACAGAAAACACGGAATAAATTCGGGTAGGAAAACGACATAATGGTTCTATTCAGAACTGGAGAATAATTGATCGGTATTCCTGAAGATCTGCCTAGTCTGGTCACCCGTAACCTTATAAGGAATATGTCACTTACGAACTCTTTGTAGGCGTAGGCAAACTGCGTTCGGATTGCAAGCGCACGAGTAGTCATCATAAGTTGCTCGGATGTTGTAAGGCGACAGACTTCGGTCGAATGTGTGGACTTTTACAGTCGATGAGCATGTTATGAAATCAAAGTCTGAAGTTGAATAAACCGTGTTTAAACAACGTTGACTGTGTGATTATTAACATTGTGCCATCGATCACATGCCGGATTAAATGAAATTTGTCTCACACTAAACTTTTAGTGCTGAAATGACCACAAGAACCTTTGAACCGAACCGCACACAGACGACTGCTAACTGCAACCCAGTCGAGCAGTACACGATCAGCTTTGCATGCTCACAGCGATGTCAACGCCAACCAGACCACGAGCATTACACAACAAATCGCCCAGCAGGCGAAGTGTGAAACGAGAAACCGAGTTTCTATCCGAAGAGCGCTGCGTTATCATTGAAGTTGTGGCATCCATGCATGTTTTGGAGAGGCAGAACATCTGTTTAAAGGGGTCCAACAGTCGCATTTACAGTAACCTGTTTCCTCGTCTAGAAAAATATTCTAAGCCTACAAGAAGCCGAGTGAAGATGTTGGAACTGATACTCATTTGCCTGACCGTCACTTGGAATCCACTTCCACGCACAATTCCCAGGTCATCCGACCAACCCTGCACTCGGAAACATCAGACTCCAGTTTCGCTTTTGTAAAAGCTCATCATTGATGAGCATCGGCTGCCTCACCCAGGTTTTGATTCCTGGCCCGTTCACGTTTAAGATGTGTGTGTGTGACAATGACGTCACTCCGCTCCCGTCCGAGCTGATCCGAATCACCAAGTTAAGTTTATTCAGATCTCTTCCTTCATGACAGCCACAAATGCCTGACAGATTCGAATGGAAACACAGTATCTGTCCCGACAACTCCAAGCGAATGCTTCTCACCAAATCAGGTATTCTCCACAGGAATTTATTATCCTTATCGGTGGTTACAAGTCCTCCGTAACGACTTTTTATGGATTCGCACATCCATTTCGAACTGGAATGCGAAGAGCAGAAAGATAAGAAATGTTTCCCGAAGAACAGCCTGAGACTTTTGGACCAAAAGTATTTAGCGGTCACCCAAACCACAGGAGGGATTTTTCTTTTGAAAGCTAACCGGAGCCTCTGACTCAGACATCCGACCCAAAAGACAGTAGCGCGCACACCCAGCATGGGAACGAGTGAAGTACCTGTGAGAGAACTTCTTCTGGTTTGCCACATGAGAACTGGTTGCTGTTCTCATCTTACCTAGTGTTCGCTGGTGCTTTGTTATTGATCTACTTTTTCAATTCCGTCCTTAGCCCCATGAACCCAAAAGGGTAAACTAAGCGTGGACGGAGCAGCATCCTTTGGGCCGGAGGCTATCCAGGTTTCGCGGGTAGTGGCTGCCCAATGAAGTACAATGTCTTACCTTGCCGTCGACAGAAGCCCAAGGTATTCCACTCCTACTGGTACATCTTCGGCCTAATAATGCCATCTTGCAAGGTCCTATGAATCATGTGAACACGCAAGCCATCGACTATATTAGGGTGCAGTCTCATCGTGATGACACTATTCTCTTGGATTATTTCGACATGGACATCAATAATCAGCTTACCTGCATTGACTGGTTGGTGCACAACAGTCCCTGGGCGTTAAAATATTACTTCACAAACTGTCAAACGGTGGAACATTTTCTCTATCCTCATCTATTTCTCTCTAGCCGAAACCTTCCTCTTTAAAGGTGGCTCGGATGGGTATTTTTTAAAAACTCCCCTTATAAAAGAGTTCAGCCGTCTTACAATAATTCGTATTCAGCGTACGAAGTCTGAATACCGTCTCTGACGTAATACAACACTGATGTCGCTATTTTCTAGTGAAATCGAAACTCAAGACTGGAGTGAAGAACAAAATCGGAACATGACAAAAATCTGTAGCAAACACAATAACAGATCTGCAGGGGTTATTTCGTGACAGAAACAAAACGTAAATCAAAAAGCAAAAACCGATCATTTGAAAAAGTAGAACATGAACAATTGGATGAGAATATAAAAGTCAAAAAACGGTTATAAAGTCCTCACGGTCTAGTATATTATTTGTCAATCTTAATCTTTTTCACCAGAAATTTTTTGCTTCGGCAGTCAGAGCATCACAGTATTCCTTAGCACTGTTTGCGTCACTGATTCCCACAGTGACTTGCTTCATTGACCAACCGTTCGCTTTTCTTGCCAACAACTTCCACTCCGATGCACGAGTATCCAATGCGGTTTCGAAGTAGACCAAGGCGAGCGCAGTAGCCCATGAAGCCTCGGGTACAGGTCCTTTTGTGTGTGTGGCATCCCCTGAGATATAGAACCAGAATAACTGTGATTGTAACGGCTTGAAAATGAGTCATCAAAAACACGTTCGACTACATATTTTGATGTAAACGATGGGTCCGTTCACTTTTTCCCGAAAATCATGAACAAAACATTAGAATAGAAATTTGCACAATACAATGATCAAATAATCGTACACATCCTACAAATACTTTTGAGTGGTGTATAGGATTGATGGTGTTTTGCTTCGCTGATTATCCTTTGGACTCCACCTTTCACGCACAAACCTCAGGTCATCCGACCAACCCTGCACTCGGAAGCACCAGACTCGAGTTTCGCTCTTCTCAAAGCTCATCATTGATGAGCATCGGCTGCCTCACCCAGGCTTTAATTCCTGGCCCTTTCACGTTGAAGATGTATGCTAGCACTAGGTCATCCCTCTCACCGAGTTGACATGGTGCAGATGTCGTCCTCCGTGACAGACGGCAATGCTCGACAGCTCCAGAGGGAAATACGGTTGCTGTTCTTTTAACTCTGAGTTCAAGGTTGGTCGGACGACCAGAGGTCTCCACATGAAAGATGGAGTCCAAAGCACATTCAGTCAGGCAATGAATAATCAAATAGTTGAACACTACGATCTGTGGAATACAACGTCCTGGCGTAAGCATAAATACATGCACCGCTCTACATAGGCGTCCAGTCAACCAATCTCTCGTTCAAGAATTGCTTGGTGTGTGTACCGGTATTTCCATACATTTGTGAAGTTCCCTCGCTGTCTTTTCTCCTCACTCTGAGGACTTCATTCAGCATGTAAACTGGCCCTTTCTAACCAGTTTGACCCACACGTCTTCCCTTTACTTTCAAATTTTTAACGCGGCCACCTTGTCTCTATTCCCATACCGTTTACCCTATGAGTGTACGTTTAGAGTGAACCGATTTTCCATTGCGCCCAATCCAGGGGCATACGACCTCCACGTTTTTGTGCTTCATATGTGCCGGACCTTGTGCGTCATGTTTGCCTCCGTTCTTTGTCGGCATTCTCACCTTCAGTTCACGAGTGACCTTCGTACTTTCCTTCCATGCTACAGATTACGCCACTTCAGCGTGAGGGTCTAGGACAAGCGTGCGTGCAATTCTCTTGGTCCTTGTCTGAGCTAATTTCATGGTCATATCTCTTTCCATCCGTTTCATGTACGCTTCCCACTCTTCCTCTGATTGGTCGGTTGTTCTTGTTATGATATATGAATTTCCCCTTATTCCGCTGTCTCGGTCCCGTATCGCATGGTATACTTTCCTCGCCTCACCCTTCAGACGATTTGGTGCCTATTCCCGGATCCTTGTGACTGAACTGCTCCCACAATATTGAGCTACGTTGTTTGTAATTCTAATCATCGTTCCATAAAGTACACACAGATCACCGACTCGCCTTATTCCGTTTGGGTTTCAGGTTCGTGTTTCACGAGAAGCTCACTCACTGGACAGCCGTTCAGTTACAGGGCGTCTGTGTGAGTCGAACAATGTTCGTAATCGTACCGACACATCGGAAATCGCACAGGTGACTAAAGTCCTTCCTGACTGTAATATCCGCCTGCTGGAGATGCGTCTGATGTGCTTCTGCTTGCGCTGAACATTGTGTAACTGATGCGGGATAAACCATCGGCATTGATTGACGAAGAAAGTGAAATGCATCTGTAGATACCTCCCACATCCAATGTAAATTAAGTCACCACTATGGGCAGGCAGCAAAAAAATTCTGTCATCCTGGAAGATGTACCGAACGCAGACTGGCCTTTGCAGCCGCTGAGGGTTTTATGTAGATGAAGGCGAAATGAAATTGAACGTACTGATCAGTGTGTGAGAACATAATATGCTATGGCCTATAAAAAGAGGAGAAAAGGGACGGGTGACCAGTCAGAAAGAACAAAAGGAATTCAGGGACCAACGGTCACTGACCAGTGGAAGCCAAACAAAATGAGAGAAGTCTGTGATAAAAAATTCCAGCATTACTGATAGGAACTAGATGGAATAGGGATACAATGTTTAAGTTAGGCCGCGGTGAATTCCGCAAAAGAAGTAATGCAAGGTGAAGTGTGAATGAAAACCCTGGAAAGATTAAGGCAGTCTAGGAGGAGTAACAAAAGAATATTTAGGTTAGTCATCGGTAAGGTCAGCGGGAAAATAAAAAGGATATAAGACGAGGACTCAGGTAGATGAAAGCTGAGGGAATTCAACAAACAGCTGGGGAACCAACAAACGGAAAACGAATAAAAAATCTGTCGTGACTGAGAGAACCTAAATGGAATAGAAATAAAAAAGCTAGGTAAGGTTATGACCGGGCTTGTAGAAAATAAGGAAAGTGATCTACCGAAGTGCTCATTTAGTAGAAGCTCACAGCATCCAACGACAAACTGGCCCAGAGAAACCAGTAAACTGAGAGTTTGTGGCAGGGAAAGTACCCTAGAATAACCAGGGTTATTTAGGTGGACGAGTGATGAAGTGGTTACGTTAGACAACGATGACGTTTGTATAACATGAAGAAGTACATGAGGTGACGTGCCAAGGAGATGTGGTCTAATGGAATTCAAAATTCTAGGCTAGGACGAAGTAAGGGATAGCATTCGCAAATTATGACATGGCGAAGCATGAAAAAAAGTAAATGGGATCAGTCCATGCGACAATTCAATAGAAACAAAGGAGTGAGTTGATGGTACCCTACTAAATTTCATATTGCGCTATTCACCGGTCGAGATCATTCTCAAAATGCATGATCTTCAGTGGTGCTGGGAATCTCCAACTGAATGACCCGGCAGACAGTCGAGCACGTTGACGTTTGAGATTTTAACTGAAGCTTGGCCAGAAAGGACTGAATTTTGAAAAGTTCATTCCATATAATGAAATAAACTGAAGGGACGAAGTGTAACACTGAGGCCGTTCCAGCTAATTCAGTAGCAACAGTAAAGGACAGATGACGGGGGGGGGGAATAACGAATGTCAGACGATAATGTGAACAGCTTAGTAGAGAAGGGCAGTCTATACAAAATAGGCTTTGGAGAGCTGGACTCATTTTAGGTCGACGGAGCCTCAAGAGTTCGGAATTGAGTATTACGCAAAGCTCTCTACGGGTTACCGCAGATAAACATCCAATAAATTCTTTGGCTGAAAGCCTCTGTGCTTTTTTAGAGAGATCCTATCAACTTTAGGCATGCACAAGTTGATCAGCGGGCAATATTCAACTAAGGTTCTGGTATACTATTTATAAATGTGCATCATACTTCTGAGAAGTCTCAGGGACCGAAAAATAAAACAAAAACTCCGATCACCTAAGGCTTGAATGACTGTTTGCTCGAGAAGTTTCAGGGAGGCCTTGTAACTTGGGTTGAGATGGTGATTCGTACAGCAGCATGCAAACGGCCACCCACTAATGATTAGGGAACCTGGGAGCAGGTGATCCTGGTGAATTACGTGCTCACATTTATCTGAAGGGAAGTTTGTCAACCAAGAAGCGTCTCGCTGAACAAGGGCAGGAAGGTCAGCGGTGTGCCTCTCGGCATAGAGTTAGCATCACCCGAATTAAAAGAGCAAACAGTTATAAAACCTTCACTAAAGTCAAAGTGAGTAACGTAGAACATTAGGTTTAGCGAATCGTTGACACACAAGAGAAAGATCAAAGTACCTAGTGTGCTCATTTTTATAACTCTACTGGTAACTGGTTCAAGACCAGAAGTACGATCATCAGTAAAACAAGCTTGCTAACTTTGTGTTAGGTACAAGCACAACCCAGAAGGAAGGAAGTCAGTAATTCCAAAGAACAGCACTTTGGCGATGGACTGTGGGCTGTAGATAAGAGACGCTGTCAAGGGCTTCACACACATCGGGGGCAATCAACAGCAACAGCTGTGTCCCCATCTGCAAGCTTGGTAAGAAGATTCAGGAAATCGAATTACCGGGTTTACAAGAGCAAGATTTGAGGAATCCATATTACCTAGTACTTAAAATGTTGACACGAGGAGGCAATAAACCGGGCAATCTTTAACAGCTTTTCTATTATTCTTGAGGTAATGGGTGTCATTTATTGAAGGGTGACTAGACCAACCTCATAATGACCCTATTTTTTCGAGGAAGTTTGACTGACCGCTTTCAGTTTGAAAGCATTGAGCTGAAATTCATAGAGTGTAAAAGTTCACAAAAAATAGTGGTAAGTTGGGGCCACCCTTGGTAACAGTTGTTGGGGAGAGTCCACCTGATTCTATATGGTCCACCGCTTTGTACTGGGGGGGAATTAGTGAGGCTTCCCTAAGTTAAAAGGTCACAATGGACAGAGAGGTGTCAGTAGTGGAATTCAGAATAAGTGGGTTGACTGGGCCGCAGTGGAGGAAAAGTAGCGATTAAGAGCTCCAGAAATTTCACAGTGACGTACCGGATGTCATGTCAGATAACACCATGTACTAGATGGCTGAGTTGGCGCCTGCATTTCTAACCATCCATGATCTCCAGATTTTTGGGATCCTGGTGAGATGAATGAGAGCAACTTTCCCTGTGTAAAAAGGGCTCCGGTTGTGGTGTAGCTAATATGAAGTAGACGGTTTAGGTTGATACAAAGGAGAAAATCACGGGGTGGATAAAGAGCCTTTGTAGCTAACGGTATTTGCTTTCAAGGGAGAAAGGTTTTGACTGCTGATCACCAGTACAAAAAATAACAGAGGGTTATTTTGTTGGACTGCTTGTTTTGTTAGTATAGAATTCGTCGGCGGTTAAATGGGGGTGGGTCAAAATAAGAAAGCCACCGCAGTCTCCGTCACTTCTAAGGTGGCAGATGCCTCTGGTTGATGATTAGTTGGTTAGGGCAAATGAGATTAATAAGGAATAGATAGGGAAAATAAACATTACCAAATATTTCCGGTCCTTTCCATGAACGCTTTGCTTGACCATAGAGGAATTAGCCGAGAAACCGCTAGGGTAAAGTGAGTCCAGTATGTTATCATTCCCAGCGGGCCTCGTTACGTGTTCCACCCATCCTTTCAAGTGATTCATAGTGGGTACTAAAACGTCCTGCTTCTCCCGCCCAGCGATCCGTAGGTCTGATGAGAGTTAACGAATTACCTCCTCCGAGGTATGCATCGCTTCGAGATCAGGCCCGCAGCCTAAGTGACCAAGGGCTATTGAACAATCGGACATTACGTAGAAGCCGCACTTATTTCGCTTGGCTTGTGATATCAAGCCACCGAACAGATTTTGGACAACTTTAAACGACTGGCCAAATATGCCTCTTGATTTTGTTCCTATCCTTGTGTGGCCCTGATCTGGATCGAGCATGAAAAACCATCAATATATTCCCTAGATCATCCTCGGCAATACTGTGTTGAGTACAGCCACTTCCGCCCGGAATCGGCCAGAAATGCTACCAATTACTTGCTTAACTTGCGGTATCGTTGGAGACATTCGGCAAAGGCTGCCAATTCCACTCCACGAAGATCAGACAAATTTTGAGTTTGTGCAGTTTGCTTGAACACCGAAATGGAACTTTTTCCTTCATGGTAGCCTGGTTGGCTGTCCAAGTCGTATTTGGAGGCCTTCTCTCCCAGCTCTGCCGGATTATCTTCGCCCGCTCTCTGTGGCCTTTAACACAGCAACTGCCGCCCTAATTCTAATGCCCCCGTTTTAGCTATTTCAACATTCTCACAATCAAATATGGTCTCAGGAATAGTTGGAATAAAGCTGACAGGACTAACAGACCTAAAGGTGTCCAAAGAATGAAACGCACCCAAAACCTCCCCAGTGACTTGCAGCATATCTTCCAGCCCCAGCTCTGGCTGTTTTGGTCATTTTTTAGGCTGCTCCTTTTCTCTTCAATCCATATTGATCAACTTGCATATTGTTAGGATTATTTGAGCCACTGGCATCCAGTTGCGAGTCCCAAATTTGAAACAAATTTGATTCTTTGCTTCTGCGGTAATCCAATGTGAACTGGACGAATTCACGAAGGTATGCCTACCTCAAATATTAGATAAAAAAGACTGAAAGACAAGGACTAAGTTTGTGGCGCAAGAAAAAGCGCACCTGAGTAGAACGGGCCCGGATGGTTTATGAAAAAACCACGCGCTGGACGCTAATGAGCGAAGATTGGCGCGATCGTAAATAGGTAGTTCAGACACATAACGAATGCGTATATTGGAGTGTTATGACAAATATAAAGCACTAGGGTGTCCCCGGAGAACTTTCCGCGACCAATCGTCACATTCTACATTGAAATTAAAAGCCAAACAACTGCTGACTTTTGCTCCATCTCTGGTGAAGTATCTTCATTATGCACGATGCACGCACCTGACAACGTGTCTGCGGTGAGCATTTAACTCCCTCGAAGGTAAACTTGTTTGTGGTTCTGCATTTGGCATCTGCCCAACATTCTTCATTAAACTTTTAGGGACACTCTTAGATGGTTGTGTGGCCACAAAGTTAAGTGGCTTGTGGCCAAGATGACCACAGCCCTCCAATAGCATGTGTGCCTAACAAAAAGCACCAAGTTAAAGACCACGGCGAGCACTCGCCTTCCAAGTTGAGTGCAGTTCTTCTGGGCTGGAAGAAAGCTGAGATTGAAATAAGTACTGCTCCTAGGCCCAACTGACTGCTGTCACACCGAACAATGAGAGTGAGGGTTGGTCCGTTTTAGGCCAACTCCGGTGTCACGGAAATGGCTTCTCTGTCTTTTTCAAACAACTTTTTGCCCACTAGTTCAAAGTTGCTGCGTCTCCGTGAGAGCGAGCAGTCGATCAGGCCGCACTAATCCAGCCAAGCGCAGCAAAATCTGCCCGAATGGTCGACCACAAAACTAGGAAGTAATCCCTCTTGGAGTCTACTGGCCTGGAGATGTTTCCAATCGACTTGAACTTATCCGGGTCGGCTCTCAGCCCCTTAGCCGTCGAAAGGTGCTCATGGAGTTCGGCGGGTGATACAAGATGTCTGAAATTATCCTCGCTTAGTCCCGTTCACCCTTGTGTAGAAAGTTATGGGAAATATACCGTATGGGAATCGTGTTGATTTGGTGTCTTGCCGTGAATCAATGTGTTGTCTACAGCGCAGATCAAGCCCCTGAGTTTATCATAAGCTTGAAAAAGACACTTCTGTAAAATTCACGAGATACCTTCAATCCAAAATGCAATCAAATCCAACTATCGAGCCGTGTAGCAAAAGGGGCGAGGAAAGTCGATTGTCCATCTAGCTCTGGTTTCCAGAATACTAACGATGAATCGATGTCGGTAAAGAATTGTACTGCATACGGATCCATAAGAAAGGCCTCTCTTACCTGGTATTCGGTATTTTTCCTCCTGGGAGCCGCGTTCAGGTGCATTGGGTCTATTCACGGGCAAGCCGGACCCAAATTTCCCTGAGGCGGGTACAACTGGACTAACCCAGTCTGTCAGCCCGTATACTTCAACAATACCTATGGATCCGAAAAGGTCCAATTTGCACGGCAAAGTTTCTCTTGGGGCCTCGAGGACACTTCCGACCGTTAAGAAAGCAGACAATGCGCTGACGGTCATTACTAGAGAAATACCCCAGTTGAGGATCAAAAGCTGATACGCGCCGAAGGAGGTTGTCGTTTCCTTTTAGACTGCACACAAAAATATCCTCCGTTGCCTCAGGGAAGTCCAGTTACTGAATAGCGTCGAGTCCAAGTATTGGATGAAAGTTCTCCTCAGTTTTTGACGTCCAAGCTCACTTGGTCTTATAAGTCCATTACCGTTTCACTCCACGGTTTCGATCTGCTTGTGCGCTTTTCGAAAGCAGCCTCATCAAAAAAAAGATATTCACCGAGGCTCCAGAATCCAGCCGAAAACGACGTTATACGTCAACCACGACTTCTGTGAAAAGCTTTTTGTCTGCGTCGAAACAACTGAAGCCACTACCTTTTGGTTAAAGATATGCCGGCCCGTTCATGAACTTTTCGGACAGTATATGAAGCTTCCACGAGAAATAATTTAGCTTTCCGCAACTAAACCTCCTCCTCCAAGTTGAACATTCCTACTTTTCTGTGACCAAGAAACCCGCATGCGATGCGCATGGCTCTCGTTAGGGTGTTCCGCTCAGCTGTCGCGAGTCGTTCGTAAGAAGTTTCATCTTATTAATGGCGGCTTCTTCGCTCTGACAGATATGAGTGCAAGTTTTTAATTCCGGTTAGAACATCAGTACAAGTTTTTGTGTTTGCATCATTCCGAAGGACGGTCACCATTATGCCTTGCGGTAAGCTGCCCTACACGCAGCCGCATGAATGGTACGATTGGTCTAGGGTCTTCGGTACAATAAAAAAGCCTTGGACAGTCTCATTTTCACTGCGTACTCTAAAAAAAAGAATCTGTTCGAATATTTTGCTCTACAGCCCCAGACAGTATTTATTTACCTCAAGCACTGCCAGCATGGGACCTTCCTGGTCTTTGTCAATAATAAATGAGAAGGTGCTCTGAATCAGGGGCTTTTTTCGAGAAAATGATGAAACATTGCCTTAAAGGTCAAAAATAAACCTGGTTACTAAAGCCTTTATTTTTCAACTTCCATTGTGTGATCTTCTCTATATCTTCTGTCTTTTAGCCCAGCACGACCGTTACCCTTAATTTTAGTTACACATATATTTTCGTGATTCTTCTCTCATAGGATCATGCCACATGGGCTTGCAAACCTCTCTCAGCTAACTTTGACAACAATTTAGTTTTCAGAAGTCTTATTTGACGTATTTCCATAACTGGACTCAACCTTCAGTGATGGAGGCACTCGCTATTTTTTTCTTGCACAAACCTCCATCCTGTTGTGTTCAAGTTTTTCTGCCAAACCTCTTCTTTACAATCTGAAATTATCGCCCACAACCTTCGCCTATTTATGATATCTTGCGGCATTTTTCCTGTCTTCTAGACCCCTTTTCTTGGATCTCTCTGCTGTGTATACTTTTTCCGATAATTGTTGGTCGTCAGTCGGGATGCCTTAAATAAGATTCTTTATTATTGCAATTTGCGCTGCTTGAGTTCGGTGACGCTGAAATGGTCTTAGAGCCGCCGGCTCTCTATTCGACTATACCATCTGACCAGGGAGTTATTCTGTGACGGACACTGAATTGCTGCTGGTTAACGTCTTTGTCCTCCAGTACTGGCCACATTAGGAACTACTAATTGTCTGAGGCCACGATTCTCTGTAGCTCAACAATGTTCAGTTGTCATAATCCCAACTTTCGGAATTCTGTCAGATCCACCGCTTTGATCGGCGCTTCAAGTGTGCCGGAGGTCTTGAGCGATGTGCAGGCTTGACTGGGTTGAAGGTAACCCCCCTGTCACCAAAAACGACTTTCAGGCCGGGTGTTCAGCACCGTCAGCCCACCCTCTAGCGCCCGTTGCAGATTACAAGATGCCTCCTTTTATCTCCTCACTTTACCTTTTGCCACTCCAATGTACCCTATTTTACGGCCGGTTCTGTTCTGCCCCACTAATGCACTTCCCGATAAACGCATAATTATCAAACATCATTCCACGGTGGACAGTGGTAGTATATCCAAATATCCCTTGACATTCCTGGCGAATCTTCCATTTTCTACTTGCCTGAGGCTCCGAGCTGAACTTTTCACTGGCGCCATCAGCAAACATAGACATTCCGTATGATTAAACTAAAGACCGGTTGACATATTTATTATTGCTATCCAAATCCGCTCTTCAATGACCAAAACATTCCTCGCATCGAGGCACTTTTTCTATTGTATTTCAGAATTCAGGGATTTGAATGCAGATCACCTGCCTCTTTGGTCAGCCCAGATGTTCGAGCGCATAGGGCTCATGCACGATAACTTTCTTATACTGTCAAGCTTGATGTTCTGTCCGTAGTCTCGCACGTTGGATGCAGCTATTCTTTCTAGTCGTAACTGAATGATTCACCTTTAAAACGAACATCACCCGATAGGCTTTTACCTGTCCACTTGCGTAATCTCTCCGTTATCACAGTAGCCGAGCATCTCAAATCGATCTGTCATTCGGTTCCCAACTTCGCACCGATTCTCGTTTTATAACATGAAGCATTTCCTCTTTCACCTTGGCCAAGAATTTTTCTCTGTCATTTCGCGAACCTCTTTCAATATGCATTGTTCCTTTGGCGTGCGGCTGGCTCCGTAAATAACCGCACGCAGAAATTCACCACAACATTCCGTGAACGATTCATTTTAAACCATATCCGATGTTCTGTTTCTGTTCATCGTCTGGTTTTCAGTCCAGCAAACACCGCACTATGGCTTGCCACTGCCGCTTCCTACCTTTTTTGAGGAAATATTTACTTTAAAAAATGGACACAATTTCTGTCATTCCCTTCCGGTATCCAGTTATTACGGCCACTTCCTAAATGTTTCAAGGTTATATTTGTCAATTTCGGTCGGCTGCACTGTGCTTTGTCTCCTCGACCTCATGATTTTAAGCATAACTTTGCCCAAAGCCTTCCAGGATTTCCACTTGAAAAGTTATTCTACATTCAGTTGCGTGCATACATTTTTCTAACTCTTCTTTAAAATCCGATTCTGCTGTCACGTGCACCATTTGATCACGCTACACAGCACCCCTCGGACTTCTTCAAGATAAGCAGTTGTTATTATTGTTGCCTCACTCTCCTTTGATTCGGAATACATTCGCCTGAGTACAGCGTATTCCTAATATCTTTGCCTTCACAGCCACCAATCAACTGTCAATCGATATCGACTTCGCACGTCCAATGGATCCGAAGGGGTTATCGCAAATAATCTTCGCGTGTTCATCATCAAGCTTCTGCGAGGTTCGTCGAGTCTATCTAACAATCTGTTCTATTCCCTCCTAGTAGCCCCAAGATAAAGGTCCCTCTGTCTTTGACTCACCTCTTCTGTTGCACAAAAGCGAACGGTCTGTATAAGTTACTGGGCGACCGCGGTCAAAGCCGTGGCACAAAGCACACTGGTCCAGAGCTTTTCTCATGACCGGCTATTCCGGCTGGCTGTTTCGGTTACGCTTCCGGCTGGCTGACTTTCCTGCTAGTTGGTTAAAACAACTCTTGGCCCTGATTGGCTGCTTTTTCTCCGTTATACTAAAGCAATGCCTGGCCGTCGAATAACCGGCTTCGTAGCGTTTACTCAAAACAACGATCGGCCGCTCACGGATTGACCACACCGAGTTCGGCGGCATCGACTGTTCGCAGTTGACTGAACTCCATCTTTTCCGTTCTGCACTAGTTAACTGAGCCGTCGACCCACTTTGCTAGCCTGAGATTTGCCATCCAGTTTGGACGGACAGTGACGCGCGGTCTGCTAAAGGGGTTAAGCCACCTACGAATGCATCGTCAAGTACCATCACAAGATGGAGGATAGTTCAGTGGATAAGGATGCAGCAAAGAGTGGAGGGGATTCAAAATAAAAAGCCCGACGATATATGAACACTGGCATTACCGGTGAGCTGGAAGACAAATCACTGGACAACGGAGAAGGGTTTGATTTTGCGACATTCCTTTTGGCTTGAATAAAGTGAAAGATTTGGCCTTTGGAAATGTTTATCTTTTAAATTCTTTGTTCATGAGCCGGTACCAGACAATGTGGGAACCATTTCAAAAACAAAAATACCACAAAAACTTGAGTTTGACGAACAAGCACCCGTAACGTATGAACTAACAAAAGGTTCAGAATGCAACAACTGATTAACAGACCTCAATCAACTTCACGTGAGGCTTACGAGCTGAAAATGGACGAGGGAAAGTTTAGGCTGCGCAAGCGAAATAGTGGTCAAGCAAGGAGCAGGAGCACCGCGTAAAATGTATGGCTTCCACCACCACTTATGAAACAAAGACCAGCACACTGTGCAGTTGTGACCTTCTGCGGGCAGTGGATAGAAAAAGGTGCTACCGGTTGCCAAAAAAGGGTTTGTAAAGCCTCACCTTTACAGGAGACAATGCGACTTCACTATTTGCCATTATAGGAGAGTGCTTCCAGCGTTGTAGTGCTACCAACACAGCACTCGATGACGAAGACCAACAAATTCGTTTATTTGAACAATTACCGTTTTTGGTGGCGCCACTTGCTCCGCTTGTGTACGTCGTCTGCACGCCGTTGCGCTCCTCCAATACACACGTTGTCCCGCACCAGCGTTTCCAGTTCTGCTTTGCGCGCTGCCGAGTATATTCGCCATTGTGTCAAAACCGAGGACCAGGGGCTATAGACTCTATACGGGAGCAGGTCCTGACTTTACTGAGATAAATCCTGAACTGGTGAGCCCGAACAACAAATTATTTCTCGAAGGACACTCGTACGTCCCTTAATCACATTTATTCATTTACATATACACTTTTTCCGACATATAAACGGTAAATTCCTGATTTCTGTTACCATCTTCTTCTCATATTCCTTCTCATATTGATATTATAAGTGTTTCACGGTTGCCGCACTGACATCTTTATATCGTTTTACATTTGATATACCATTGCAACTATAGCTAGCAACGACCGTAAACCTGATCCGGAACCGTCCGTTTCGACAGTCCCCTCAGCCGTCACTCAGTTTTTT